AGTTTTCTAGGACAGACTTCACTTCTGTGGTATAAGTCCAAAAATGCATTTTATTTCTTTCTTCCAAGCCCTTGGCAAAGGGACCACATCCCTACCTATCTGCAGATAGGATAGCAGACACTGTTTTCTCCTGCATTCAGCCATTTTTCAATTGCTTTTTGCTTGCTTCTGTTATGAATGCAAACTACAGGGCTCAATAGCATCCCTCACTACTACAAATCTTCATATACTGTGGTCTCCAACTGACCAGTGTGAGCCAGATCAAAGTCAGTCATCTTCATCCTCTGGCTTCTGCGCCCAGCTCCCTGGCCTGAGACCATAAATCCATCGATAACTTCCACCCCAGCTACAACAGAACAGTTTGTTAAATGCAAGGGGATCAATAAATCAGACCTTAAGCCCAGTCTACTACTATTTCAAGTTAATTACAAAGGGATTATTTTCCTTTAGCCCAGTACCTATACCAAATAATATTGTTTTAGATGAACCAATTATTCAGGTTCAGTTCCCTGTCCATGTTACACAGGAGTTTGACTGAACCAGTTTAAACCAGAGCTCCAATCGATACGATCCCTCGTTGCAGCAGGAGACGCCAGCCGTTCAGATGCCTGAGAAAAATCCCCTCCAAAATGGACATAGTAGCAGTATAAACATGTGTGGGTGCAAAGGGGATTTTCAAACGGTCTTTTACTGTGTTTACGAATCTCACAAAGCTGCTCTGTATCGGGAGTGGGGGAGGAGAAAGCATAAAAATATTAATCAGTTACTTATCTTCTGACATGTTCTGGATCAACATCTGGTGCATGTGCAAGTGATGAAGTATGGCATTTGGCACAAAAGCTTATTTAATCTTCTCTTCCCAAATTGGGCAGGGAAAATTAGCACTCTTAAAAATTAAGTTTCCAGATCCAATTTTTTTTCTTTAAAATAAATTGCCAACATTGTATAGGCTGTCTGTTCTATTTTGGAAAATGTTTTTCGTCTGAGAAAAGACTGATCTTAAGTAGATTATCTATGGGCTGTTTCCTACCGCTTTTTGTCTCCCCTGCAGTATCTTACTGCCAGGGTTTAGTAGACAAGTATAGTCTAGGTTCAGCTGTTTTATTTCTACTTCTATCAGTTCAAACTGAGATAGCTCACACATCTGTTTTATTTCTGAAAGCACTGCATAGGAAAAGTGTCCAGCTCATTCTAATCAAGCATAAACTTTCCTATAAATAACTAAGGACCTAACGAAACAATTGTTTGGAGGAAATGAAAGTGTGTTTAGAAACTCAAATTCCTCTATACTGTATGCCTGAGCTGTTCCAGTTTGAATGTCTTCCTGACAGCATGGATCAGTTGCTCTAAGATGCTGTCCCCAGAGTCAGCAAACTGAAACTATAGCAGGAAATCCAGGTATTAACATCATACTATGTGCTAATTATAAACCATCATTTCACATTCTGACATTATTCACTTCTAACCTCTTTTAACTAAATCACGTATTTGCTTTCTAATCACAGTTTGACAGGAGAGAGTGTCTGACACGAGACACTAAAGTGATCTTTTAGTAAGACAGCAGTCCAAAGACTGCAGCTTTTATGCATAATAATGACCTTAGTTTGATTTGCTGCTCCACAAAGAAGTTGTAGAGTTTCTGAAAAAAGAGGAAAAGTTTAAATCATTTAAAAAGCTTCAAGTTCCTGACTTGTGTTCCGGTTTCAGCTTCTCACTTGAAGTTAGATGTTAGCCATCTTAACCTGTTTTGCAAAATTTCTTTCCTACAGCTACAGTCTCTGCAAGCATTATTAAATATATTCCACCTTCTACCTTTTCATTTTAACATACCCTCAGTTTTGTCTGGTGATTACTACCGGGTCGGACATAATTTCCTATGCAAACATACACTTGAAATTGGATGGACATTTGAACTTGTTTTGTACGCAAACTTTGTTACCTGGGGTTTTGTTCTTAAAATCTGAATTTTTGTATCAGAGAATATTGAAGTATCCTACCACATCTCTCAGCTCATTCATGAGAGAATTTTTTTTAAAGCAGCATCATGTGGTTGGTTTTTTGGTTTTTTTTAAACTGATTAAAAATTAGCGGATAAAAAACTAACAGAGACTCAGTGAAAAAGCTTTTGAGTCCACTTTTTCATGGTAAAAATAAGAATTTGTTTTTCACAGCAGTATCTGTAATTTTTTCCCTGCTCCAACTAGATGAGAAAATGACTGAGGCAATAGTCCTTTCCTTGCATGCCCGCTAACGTGAAGGACAGCGTGAATTACTGTTACTTTGAAATGTTTTAAATAACCATTGTGTATCCTGTTTTTCTGGCACTAGACAACTTCAGAGTTGCCAAGTCTTGCCATTTATTTTATCTTAATAAAGGATCAATAAGCCAAATCTTGACTCCCAGCAGCTGATAATTTAGGATTACATTTTTAATTTCCAGCTGCTGTCTTTTGTCTATCTGGTTGTTATTTTTCATTATTATTTGCTCCTTTCTTTCCATGACAGCAAATCCTTCAGATATGATTACCAATTCAGCAATTTGCCTGTTTGCTGAATAAGATCTTTTGCTATTGATTACCACAACAACTAAATAGTATACAGAAATATCACTGGTCAAAAAGCCAAGTACTCCTCTACTGTACAAGATGCTCAGCAGACCTGCAGAAAGCCTGGCTAAAATAGACCAAAACAGTTCTTAAGGCTTAAGCAGGTTATATGAAGTACTTTAATTGCATAGGTAGGAGACCCTTTGCAAATAACCACCTTTGTAGTTGAGAAGGCAGTTAGCAGAAGTGGGGACGCCGGGAAAATACAAACCTGTACATCGTAAGTCCCATTTAGTAAGACAGGCCTCTGGGAATTGATGTCCTGCAGCACTCCTGAAAGCACAGTGCGGTTGACTTTCTGGAAGTCTTTGGAGTGGCTGAACTGCACCATGTTGTGGAGAGCCAAAATTTTAGTGTCGAGCTCAGCATCTTGCCTGGTGCGGTTGTGCAGTCCTAGGTGGTACTTGCGGAAGTGTTTGATGAGATCTGTGGGGTCGTTCCCATAGTAACCGTATCCACAGATGTTGCATTTGAAGTCCTGAAGCTCTGGAGACAGAGGCGCCGTATCTGGGTTGTCATTTACCAACAAATCTGCTTTAGATTTGTTCAGCCTTAAACCCCCATCTGAAGGCACTTGTGGGTTTTTTGAGGCCATGGGGACCGGGCTTGAGCCTTGGCCATCAGTTTGACCACTTTGCACTTGCACTGTTTCATCTGAAGCTTTTGGCGACATCTGATGCTCCTCATTTGTCTCCGCTGCATCTCCTGATGGGGTACAGACCACATCTTGGGTGTCATCTGCATCTGATTTTTGAGGAGACTTCAAGGGCTCACAGATTCCCCCAACAGCTGGAGATGAGAAAGCCAGCATATTTCTGTCTGTCACCTCATCATGAGGGAAGGATGGAACATTTCCTCCCTTATTGTGGCTTTCATAATTGAAGCCAGCCTTTTCACTCAGCACTGAGCTTTTCAAGTCTTTTTTAATGCTGGAAGATGGCTCTTGGACATGCGTGCAAAGCTCCTCCTTGTTATTTAACTCTGCCGCATCACCCTGGTCAGTGTTTTCTTGCATCTGCTCTGTGGAAAATTCTTTTTTCCTTCCAGACTCTTCACTTTCAGTACCTGTAGACTCAAGGGTCTGTACCTCACCTTCACTAGCAACGTTTCTTAGAGGGGGGTTCTTTTTCCGGACCATATCTACCACAGAAAAAAAAAAAAAAAAAAAAAAAAAAAAAAAAAAAAAAAAAAAGAAAGAAAAAAAGCAAAAAACCCTATAGAATTATTCAAGATAAATAACAGATTATAAGCCTGGCACTTTTTAAAGCATTCTGAACTATATGAATACATCGACTTTTCAGGAAATCTTTGTCAAGCAGGTTTTTAGTCTATGCAGAAAACTGGAACGTTATATTAAAAAAAGTCACACTGAGACTGAACTTAAATAAAAGACAACTTTAAAGTACGAAAACACTGCCAACAGAATGAGTGAATTACAGGTTTCATTATCTTTTGAGAAGATAATGGTCTGGCAGAAATAATTTTAAATGAATGCTTCCTTGAAAATAATTTTCAAAAACTAAGGGGAAAAATAAACTTCTGCTGTCTAATGTTCATACACTGTACAACTACATATAATGTAGCTTTGCAAAAATAAACCTAAAAGACATAATCAGGAGCACTTAAACAAGTTATTAGGAAGGAAACAGATTTAGGCAAGTAAGTAACTTTGAGGTTTCAGAGAAAGTATTTTTCCTAAGCAGGTATCAGTTTCTCTCTAGCAAAAGCTCCCCCTCCTACTGCCCATAAACTTCAAACAGGATTATATGGATATTCTGGAGTCTGGCCCCACAGTCCATTATTCATGTAATTAGTTCTATTTGCCAAACAAAGAGAAACTAACTTTATTAGGAAACCCATTGTCAATAAAATTTTACAGGCCTGGATCCAGACATTTGACATTGCTGCATGGCTGAGTCGGGATCTACCCCGAAAACACCTGGAATCCACATGGATCTAAACAGCTGAACCTTCCTCTGCTCAGTCCTCCTTGCAGACATAGCCACTATCGCTAAATCTGAAAGTACACTTTCAGGATCCATTTAGGAAAGTTCAGACAGGACAGCAATAAGGATCAGAGAGAAAGGAGGAGTCTGCCACCAGCGAGTTCGCTGCCAGCTGAACAGGGCAGATTATGGAAGAACAAATAATCTGAGTATGCAGGTAGTAAGCCAAATTCCTCATCCGCTACATATCTTCACCTTCCCCCAGCCTAGTTAGAGAAAATACACGTATGAAACTTCCCTGCACTCTCCACTGTGTGGTTCTGGATTTCATATTCATCACTAGCTGGTTTGATCCATTTGTGTTCACATGCTAGCTATGGGCAGAAGACAGATGTGCTACAACTTTTTCCATGCTCTTATCTCTGCCAATGCTGTATACAATGATGAATGTTTCTCTTTGCCAGATTGCGTGTGGTCCGGTGGCAGCAGCCTGCAGTACCACACATGAGATGTGAGCTGTAGACTCAAGCCTGAGCCCCCATTCCCGGGCCAGCCGCAGCCGGGCGCCTAGGGAGGCACTGGAGATATATATTGCTCTGCGAAGGGAGGACCACCTGGAGATTCTGGGAGCAGCACTGATGTGCTCCAAATGGTGCTGCATCCAGACCTTTAAAAGCTATGGATGACCTTCGCAAAACAGTACTTTGAGAAGTATGGCTGGGGACGGAGGTTAAAAATCAAAGAACAGGCATCTGTACATCCTCTTATTTACATCTGCTCCACATGAAAGGGCACTGTATGCTATGCTGATAAAAACAGACAGCTTCTTAGGGGAAGTGTTCAACTTGTGTCTTGGGCTGCCTCTGTTGTCTTTGTGGTTGAGCCAATCCACAGGCAGCATGGGCTACAGTGAGACGGCTTTCACACAGAATGCCAGCTCGTGTTACAGAAATTTTGACACTCCGTGTGGTCTTAATAGGTTTCTTAAATGCCTACTGTGATTCCTTACTGTAGAAGACACACATGCTTGGGAACCAAGTGTCTTCTCTTTAATGTCAGCCACACCTACTGGGATATGTATGCACTGAATTTTACTTCCCCCCCCCCGATAACTTCTGAACCATGAAGTCACTCAGAGCTAAGAGAAAAGGAAGATTTCCTGTTGTGGTAAGAGAACTATTACAATACAGACTCAGCCTACCAAAACAACGTGCGCATATATATAATTCAAGCTATAAAGATAGTCCTTAGACTTTCAGCATTACTGCTTCCCTGTGGGACTTCATGAATGCTCTTGGTTAAAGCACACTAAAAATATTGGTAAGCATCTCTGGTAGGTGTTCAGCTAAGTCTGTATTTTTCTCCTGGTTACACATCCCAAACTGTTTTTAAAATAACTTCTCTTTAAATGCAATTCATGGACAGAGAAAGGAGTCCTGACTACACAGTGAAGAAAAATCAGAATCCGAGAAAGTAAACATCGTAACTGTTACCTCAGTCAAAATTAAACAAGACTAAATGCAATGTTTTAAAATGTTTTTGTTACAGATATTTTTGGCAGATAAGGAAAGTTTAGAGACTCTGCTATCTTCATGGCAACTGACAGAAGAGAGTCAGAGAAAAGGACAGGAAAAAAATCCCTATAAAGCAAAGAAAAGAAGAATCTGGACTGTATACAGGCTAAGTAGACAGTACTCCAGATCTAGATACTTCAGTTCAAATTTTCCTGACATATCTGTGAGTCTGTGTGTTAATGGAGGGGGGAAAAAACCCCACATCTGCCTAATGGAGCTTTTTCATGCCGTATTCTACACTCGGAGAAGGAAAGGAAAGAAGACAACATTGATTTAAATACAAGAACTTTCTTAAGTTGAATTTAAAAGTATTTTCCCCTCTTTTTTCTTTTAGTTTTTGAAAAATCATCTGTCATTTATTTGCTTGATATCCACTCAAGAAAAGACACGGTATTTTTTTTGTCACTGAAATTCCACCACTATCTTTTTTCAGAGACATATTATGTAAATAAAACTGCATTTGCAATACTCCTAAATCGAAGAAACCATCCCCTAGCAAGTCATAAGTTAGATATAGAAAGAATATAGCCACTCTGAAATTATTATCTCTAAGACAAATAACAGATTGCACAATGTTTTATTGTGTGCCAAGAACGTTTTCAGTTAACAATTTCACTTGAAAAAATGGATCACATACTTGTAAAATCATACCCAGCATTGACTTCATAAGGCATGTGGCTTTAGAGTGCTTTTTACAATTATTAATTCTATTAGTCAACTAGCAGGCGGGCTAATGCAATTGTCTTAGAAGATGCACGGAAGACACAGAAGACATTTTGAGAGCTGATCTGTATATCTGCAAAACAAAACAAAAAAGGTTTTCCTTCCTAAATTATGCATTCAAAATATGGTTTTTACTTAAAAACATTATTATGCCTATTGTACATTCACATACATCTGTTAGTGGGCACTATACAAATAATGGCTGCTGTTCTCTACTTCCATCAAGCATAAGAAATTCCGTAGCTGCCTTCTCCTCAGACAGACACACACTCTCTTGTACACACGCACACAAACACACACACGCAGAGAAAGAGAGACAAAAGTTACCTCGGAGGTGATGTTCACCAAAAGACAAGTTTAAAGCAAGTTTAAAGTAAGCGTTGAAAATGAGGTGGATAAATGCTGTAAAAAATAAGTGCGCCTGAAAAACTCACATATTTTAACAGGTACTGTGCATCGTAATGGGACTGGCCTAAAGGGATGGATAAAGGAATACAAATAACTGGTTCATATCCAGGCTCTGCCATCAGCAATTGAAAGTTATCATCTGCTGGCTGCCTCATGTCCCACTTGAAATGAATTTAGCGCTGTTACTTTAAGTGGGTAACTATCCACATCTCCAAAATGCCATCACAATAATAAGCACGTTTGTTGGCTGTTAGTGAAGAGGCCAAGTGATGAACAGCCATTCGACTGAACTACCTTTTTGTCACTGGAAATGGTGACCTTCCCAAAATAAAAGAATTACTAAGCCTGATGTGAGTAAGAGACTTCCCAGCTGAGGGAACTTGGGATAGGGCCCAGGCTGCAGAACTTGTCTTTGGGCTCCATAATCCAGGGTTTAGTATCTTATTTTCATTATGCTGAAATTACCCTTAAACCATATGTTGTTTTGGGTTTTTTTTTTTAATCTGATATGATCACCCTCAGCTATTTTAAAGTGGACATAATACTAATAGCTATATATAATTTCCCTCAAAACCAGCCAAGGCTACTTTACACGATTCGTGCATCTGCAAGATACAGACTTCTCTGTTCAACAATCACTCACATCAGTTTACCCCAGAAGCAAAAAGTGGAAACTTCTGCTAAAATCAGTTTGTAATCCAGGAAAATGCATTACCGTAGTGACTACTGTACCTCTTAAAAAATAAAACGAAAAAGCAAATTCTGATAATCAATAGTTTCTTATGAGTGGTGCAGATAATGGCTAATTACCTGCTGATCATCAGCTCCCGCAATGGGTCATTGTTGTTGCTCATTACTTTTATTGAACGTGATGACTTGTCATCAAAGCCTATTGCAACAGCATGGTTGTTGCCTTGTGCTTGCACTGCAGGGTTAGGTCAGATCTTAGTCACGCACTCTTTTTAACAGCATAATACATTTAGAAAGATGTCTGAATTTTGTGAGATGCCACTGACTAATCTTTGTGCAAGTAGATGCACAAGCAGACGAATAGCAAACTGAGTCAAGGGTCTGTGAAGACTGTGATGTTATCAGTCAATATGCTGCAGCAACAAAAAGTTAAATGAAAATACGCACTTATATTCAACAGGCTCAAGTAGGACCTCTTTGTTAAGGGATAGTAAAATTAATACTTTTACACTCATATATATTACACACCCACACAGACATATAATACACATATGGTGCTTAAACATCAATCATTTTGCTAGAATAATGCAGCAAAAAATCATTAACTCTCAGTGTCTCAGCTTAATATATGTCTAATACTTACCTATCTCACAGGAGTGTTGTGAGGCTTAATTAATTAGTGACTGTAAAGCACTTTGTGATCCTCTAATGAAAGGTGCTACATAGCACAAAGTATTATTAAAATCATTAGGACCACAAAAAAGCCCTGTGGAATTCCAGCCTACACTGTCTGTTGGGGTTGGGAGTGATCTTATTATTAAAAGGAGACCGTCAGACTAATTTTCATAATTTTTTCAAGATCTTTTTTCCCCCTTTGCTGTTGTGATAGCACGTTAGTAGCTAGAAATTTAATCTTATCATCTTAATAACATACACTCATGTAGTTTGTTACTGCAGGGCTAGAGAAGAGAACAGGGCTTTTGGCACTCATCTGGCTTTCCCTTTTAAGAAAAAAAAAAAAAATTGAGAGACATATTTTGACACCTTCCCACACTCCACCCCACCAGGACAGCCGATCATGTAAGATCGCAGGATACTCACTATAGTCGCATGGGAAAACACTGCTGTGGTTTTAATTTCTCTCTCCTTTTTTTTTTTTTTTTCTTTCACAGGAAAAAAAAACCAAGGCACAAAACAAGACCTAGCTTATTACACATAAATAGGCTACAAAGGCTGTCTGCTGTGCTTTATATAAAAAACCTTAAGTGTTCAAAGTATCGGCTTCTATCAAGCACATAAAGTCCTAACTGATCTGGAGCCTTCTCTCCGGTCTCCATATAATAATCGAGCAGCCGTAAGGCACACGAACTCTGAAGCCAGAAAGCTCCTGTCTTGAGAGAGCGAATTTCTGGGAAACCATCTCCACGGCGGGCTCCATCCCCGGGGAGCCACCCCGCGCCCAGCCCTCCACTGCAGCCCGTCCTGCCGGGCTGGCCCAGACCTGTGCTGAGCACAACCAGAAAGTCAACAAGGTAATCAGGACAGCCCACAGTTCAAAGACCTGTATGTTTTCTAATTTAAGCATTTTCAAAAAATATAATAATAAGAAGCAGTAAATACACTGGAAATTCCAGGTGAAATTGCTGCCTTCACTGAAAATTAGATTATATTAGATGCAAACTACCCCCCGACTTAGACACGGCGGTACAGGACCGGCTAAAGCTCCCATCTTTCCACCTTCCTTTGTGGATACTTGAACAGTGAAATGACAGAAAAATAGAGGGGTGTATAGCTTCACCTCTGGGTGGGACACAGAGCTAGAGGCAGTCACACACGTCGCTTCTCAACCAGCTTTGCTTGTGGTTCTCAGAGCAAGCCTGCCTGAAAACAACCGATACGTGGTCCTCACCTTTCTCTGCTGAGAAGGGAAGAACAACCCTTTTGTGTAAGGAACTCAAGAATCAGGCCCTGAAGCATTGGAGGGCAGAATAAACTTAATGACAAGCAACTCCTCTTCAACAAGACCCCCTCCTCCCCCTTGGCACCAGTCTCTTCAAATACACAATACAAGACAGGGGACATCATGGCTCTAACTAACCAGGTGACAAACTAATTCCAACGGACTTTTTAAGATATATATGTTTTTCTACAAGCCCTAGAACTGCATGGCCACTCTCTCCTGCCTCAGATTGCTTAGAGTAGAACATGCCTTCTCCTATCAGTAAAATTTGGCAGGATCAGACATTGTATTTGGTCAACGTGTATCTGCTTGATATTCTACACTCTGCATGCTCCACTGAAACTATGATAGCTTCATCAATCTAGAAAATGCAAGGAAAAAATCATGTCTTATACGTCATACTAGTAAACCAGTATTATAACAAAACACTGTTGTTTTTCACCTCCTCTCTTCCTCTTCTGTGTTTTCAGACTCTTTATTTTGGTCCCTGATCACCAATTTTCCAAGAGCTTTTTGCAATTTTTTTTCCACAAAGCTTACAACAGAGACAAGTGGAAAAAAAAGCTGTGGTCTGTTCAGGCTTGCTCCTTCCCATTTACATTTACTTTCCCAACACTGATCATTCTCAAATCTCTAAAGGTGCACTTTTGGATATCTTAAGTCCCGTTCAGCTACAAAGTGTCATCACCTTCAAACAACTCTCATTAAATAAATCTCTTATTAAATCACATCAAATTAATTCAAAATGATCTTTTCTATTACCATGTGCTTCAGAACACAGCACATATTAGTAGTCATCTAGCCACGGAAACAAATCTAACCTTTTCTATGGGTATAGACCAGACACTTGGTCATTTCAGAGAGTTTAGGAGTGGCATTTCAAAACAGATTGTTTGAACCTACTTCCAGGCACTTACTTCATTTTAAGCTCACTACTGGAGTAATCATGCAGACACTTTCAGGGCAAACTGAAGTCAAAAGGTGACTTGTCTAAAGAGGCAACATGGGGTAGAATATTACAGTATCTTGCAACCAAAATGAAGAATTCTACAATTCCTTCTTTTATTCAAGAGTGCTGCTCTGCGTTTCTTACCAGCCTGCTGCAGAGCTTGCTCCCACTGGACCTCCGCTGCCATCCATCCAGGATGGGGGAGCCCAAGAAGGCAAAGATTCACTTTTCCCTGGCTTTCAATCAAGCATCTAAAAATGCTCTGTAAACATGACAACCTGTTAAACTCCAAAGAACCTTACGAAACAGGAAAATTAATATCACTGCCATTTTACAGAAAAATAAAATTATCTACAGAGACAATGCAAAAATCAAGGTGTTCAAGGTGACATGCAGGCAGGGCTCTTAGCTAGTGACTCAACCTGGTTTCTCTTGATGTCCAGGCCCATATCCCTCTCCTGTATGCGTTTCAGTAGAGAGAGCGTCACCCTAGCGCCTGGCAAAAGGCCAAGATCTTGTAATTTAATAAGGTACAGAAAGAGCACTTCGTGCAAAAGTCTAAATGCTCCAATTTATCATGACAGTTATGGGATAAGCTGACATTTTATTTGTATGTAAATTAGTCTCCAAAACAGCATAAAAAGGCCACACTTTCAGAGAATATTGTGCCTTTGCTTCTCTGTTCTGCATTTATCTAAACTCAGCTTTGTGTATTAAAAGTAGTTTAATTTTTATGTATTGATGCTGCTTTGCATGCTCCCCAATCTGTTGTTATTGCACCGCAGAGAGAATCCAGCCTGATTTGCTTACTGCAATGAAATAACTTACTTCTGCCAGGACCGACACCTCCTATAAGAGCCCTGCCATCCTCACTGAATCTTCTGGTTATTCTATTAATTTGCTGTCATTACCCTTTATAGGACTGTAGAACATTCCCTATTAGATGAGACCAGAGGTCCATTTAGTCTGGTGTTCTGCCTTGGAGAGCGGCCAATACCAGATCTTTCAAAGAAGGTTCAACTGCCTATGGACAGATACAGAATCACCTACCTCTGTGAAAAATAAA